GTTGTTGTTTCAGCCCATTTCTCTATGATTTTCCCATGACTCTACAAGATTTCTGGAGCATTTGGAGTGTGAAATTTACTATAAATAGCCATGTAACTCATTGTAAAGGAATTCAAGCACAATTTCACTATGTTTACTTTAAAATTTAGCATTAAAATTTTACACTTTTGAGTTTCATGCAATTTACAATTCTTCAAATTCTTGAGTTATTTTTCTGCTATTTTTACTTCAGTAATTGAATCAAAATCTACATTCAGAACATGTTTAATTTTAGAGTCAATTTCAATTATTTTCAAGTTCAATTCTTTACTGTATTTTTAATTATGTATTCATTATATGCATGCTTTGTATGTTAATTTACTATGTCTGAGTAATCTGCTTTAGAGTCTGAATCATGACGATTATTTAACCGATGAAATTTATGCAGACCGCTTAGATAATTAATTGTAACAAAAATTAAATGATAATTTGTAATCTCCCTTTTAAAAAAAAGTCTTGCTACGAAAGTAGAAGCGTCGAGATACCGTTTACTTGTCGGAAAGGCGAAAATATTATCCGACCTTGAAATTCATACTTTTAATTTCGAGATGGAGAAAGCATCTCTAAATTAACCGAAAAATTATTTTCAACTTGTAAAAGAATTTTTAACTTAATATTTACACTGCAAAAGCCGATATTTTGCGGACTAAAGGTCCGATGACGCGCCTACGAAAATGGGCATTACCATTAACTTAGATTTTTTTTATAGAAAAAATAATTCTCATTATGATTAAGTGATGCCATTTGTATGAATAAAATTGATAGATAAGAATCCTTATTTGGGTCTCTTACTTTTATATTAATTTTTTTATGTTTTATTTTTGCACAAAAATCTAGTTTTTGCGTAGTCTTAAATACACATAAAAACAATAGATAACAATACTTGTTATTTGGTGTCTATGAATACAATAACTTTTTATATTCCATTAACATAATCGCATATTAGCAACCTATCACAGAGTTCAAATAAGATCAATTATATTTCTAATTATTAAGACTAATTATTTTTTCGTTGGGTTAATACCCCTAGACAGTGACTCTGCATTGAATAATGTTAACAATTAATGTATTATTTAAATTCTGTATTTATTTATTTTTGTCATCATCAATACTTTTAGAAAATATTAACCCGTAAAACACATAGACCACAATTTAAAAAATTTTCCACATCAGAATTTATCATAAATTTATAATGACAAATATGAAGATTCATAAAAAAAATAGTTATTTTACAAGAACACCTGTTATTTATTATTGTCAACATATAACTATGAATATATAACATTAATAATACAGAATCAATAAATGCAATATCATAATAAAAATAATATTTACTTATTATTATAAATAATATGTACTCAAATATATTAATATAATACTAATACAGTATTAATAAAAAGAAAACAATGAAGCATTATGCTAAATAAAACCAATGCATTGGTTCAAAAGAACGAATGATGAATAAAAAATATAAATAATAAATATAAATAAAAAATAAAAAAATTTATAGTATAATTAATAAAAAAATAAAAACAACATAAAAAATGCGGAACGGTTCACATATCTTATATATTAAAGTTGTTAAGTCTTTTAAGTAATTTTTTAAGCCAAAATTAAGATTTTTTTAGTAATTATATATTTTTATTTTATTTTGTTAGTTATTTAATTATTATTTTAGTAATTTTTTATATTCCTTTTAATTTTAATTATAAAATTGTGTAGTTTTTATAATTTTCCTTCCATTTTTTAAATTTAATTACATTATTAACGCTTAATTTTTTCCCACTAACTTTTATATTTATTTAATTATTATTTTAGTGATTTTTATATTCATTTTAATATTTTATTGGTTATTTATTAAAACTAACTTTTATCAATAACTCTTATATAATTTAACTTAATTTAATTTTAATTATTTAGTAAATATTTCTATTTTTTTATTTAGTAATATTCAATATTGATTATATAATTTTTTAAATATAAATATATTATTTTTAATCTAAGTTCTTAAAAATAGAGTGGATGATGTTTTTAAATACCATGATAAGTATTTGCTCTATGATGTATATCCAAATTATTCATTTTAGTAAACTTAGTAATTTGATAATATTTTATAAGAAAAGGTATTTGTTCTCTAAAATATAGTATATTACATTGATTATAACTTTCCTAAAATATTTGTTAAATAAAACTCGTAACTTCCCTTCAAATATTTGTTAAATAAGACTTTAATAATAATTAAATAATTAATTTAAAAAATTAAAATTAATAATAAATTTCACTAACTTCAACCCACTAATTTCATTTATGATCTCTCATTTATTTATTAATAATTAATTAAAAAATTAATCCACTAAACTGTATCACTTACCACTAATTATGAATTTCCTCAAAAATAATCATTAATTTGCTTTCACATAAATTCATCTCAATGAGATTTGCCTACACAATTTTCTTTGTCTCGATTCATTCTTTATTATTTTCTCCTATGAGAGTTGTTCATACAATTTTCTTTTTACATATTTATTCTTTATTATTTCTTTTCTTTGATTATTAATTAGTATTTTCAACACAATTAACCGAGTTGTATTATTTTTATTATGTTTATAATATGTTATTTATAATATTTATGTGATTTTCTTTGCTCAAGTTTATTTTTGATTATTTCTCTTCTTTTATTAACATTGTGATTTGTCTTTATTTTTTAAAGTCTATTTGATCATATATAATATTTAATTGAAAATAATGAGTGCAATTATTTTTATATTAGATCCAATTAATTGGTTCAACTGAGAGTTGATAAATTTGTTTATTTGATATCAACTGCGTCTCAGCCTTTGTTAATTAATTCATATCATAGTCTAAAAAAAATTAAATTTTTTTTATCATACTATAATTTTTTAATGTATATTTAAATCTATTTGATCATATATAATATTTAATTAAAAATAATGAGTGCAAATCAAATATCGATGTTTGATGTTTTCCTATAACATTAATATAATTAATTTATCAAATATTTAGACTATGAAAATAATGAGTGCAAATCAAATATTTATTTTTAAAAATAGGATGCTAAGATGTTGTTTTTTATTTTTACTATTAATTATTAAAAATAGTTAATAATCATAAAGATATAAGAACACTAATTCATTAAGTTCATTGTATTAGTTTTGACACTATTTTCGATCAGAGTCTTTCCCATATTTTCTCTCTATTTATCATGCAGTATAATAGATAGAAATAAAAACATCAATTTTATTCTTTCACTATTAACAATTATCAATCAATTTCACTTATTAACAATTATCGATTATTGATAAGAGATTGATTTAGAAATAGATAAATTAAAATAGTAGAATTACAATGATGACAAAAAGGTGAGGCCTCCCATTTTTTTAGAAAATGGATCTCTTTTGCATTTCTTATAACGTCATCTCTTCAACGCAATTTTTAACCCTTAAATTTAATCTAACTATTTGATATTACTTATTTTACCGTACATATTTTTATCTATGTTTTTCTCCACCATTAATCAAATTAGAAAAGATAATATGATAAAAGAAATTAGAGAGATTCAATTTCCATTTTTTGTATGACTTTATTTCTATAAATTTATATGCTTAGATGTTGTAATTAAAAACGCCATAATAATACACAAATTTTTCGTAATAGTTAGAGTATTAAATTGTACCTCAAATTTTTATTTAACATAAAAACTTTTTTTTTGTATTTAAAATATATTAATATAAACATGTTAATATTTATAAATAAACAATTTTTAAAAAAATAAATAATAATAATAATAAATTTATATGATTTATTATATTAATTTATTTATGAAATAAATACAACTACTAGTAGTAGTTAATAAAGAATAATTACCTATTTTTCTAATTTGCATAAGTCAAAAATAAAATATAAAAAGTTTCTTTTTTTCTAAAAGAAAATTTTGCATTAAAACAACAATTTTAAATTCTTAAAAAGTTAAATAAACAGTTTTATTACAATTTTTTATATTTATTCCTAAAATATACTTTCATTAATAATATATTTTATATTATTAATTAATAAAGAATTAATACTATTTTATCTATTTAATATAGACGAATTTTGATTTAATTTTAAAATATTTTTTTGGATTACTTCTATAATTAAATTTTTTTATTTATTCTTAAATGTACAAATTAAACATTAAATCTAGGAATAATAAAAAAAGTTATAAGAGATAATTTTTATATTTAAGAGGTAAAAAACATAGAATTTTAATATTTTAAGAAAGTGATCTAAAATTTGTTTTATTAGAATTAAATCAAAATTTACATATATGACATAATATTATATATTTAACCCATTAATAAATAATATATATTTTATTAAATAACACTTTTATTTTTAAATTATTATATAATTTGACAAATTAAAAAATTTTAATTAGATACGTGTGAAATGTTACTTTACACCAAAAAGCGTACAACTTTTAATCTCAATAAAATTGACCCATAAATAAATTATTAACCATATATTAAAAAAAAGCTAGTTATTAATTCGTTAATTTTTAAATGGAAAGAATTTAATTAAAACGGACAAATATAGTATATTATATTATTATATAAAATCGGTATATATAAATAAAAAAAACTTGTGAACAGAAACAACTGCCCACTGTTTCTCTAAACCCTCAGCTACTTATGATGAGAGTAAATCCCAATCATCCCCAAAAGCTATTTTTATTTCAGTTTTACAGTGAATGAGAGTAAACCCAGACAATTTTAAGCTGTTTTCTCCATGCCTAAACCAAACAATTCCTTCCCTACTCATCCCATTCATTAATTTCCCTTAATTCATCACTTCCAACTTTTTCCACTATTTAATCACTTTTTTTAATTCAATTCCTACTTAGATCCGCTTCTTATTTCATCTATTTCATCACTGCATTTTGTTTCCTTCACTTTAGAAAAATGAAAAACTCAGAAAAACTGATTTGGGAACAAATGAAGAGTCCTAAATCTGGCACCCCTATTGGAAATGGAGGTGTATTAGTAACTGCATCTGCACATTCCAGAACCTCTCATAAACTTCTAGTCTTACTCATCCTCTTCGTTTCCATTACCTACGTTCTCTACTCGCTTAAGCTCGTCTCAACTTCACGCGCTTGCCGAGAAAATACACTCTTCTCCTCCACCGACACTAAACTCTCTGCTTCCGTCAATGCCACCGCAACAACCACCACCACCGCCATCCGCCTCAACGACGACGACGACAAGACGCAACTCCGCCACGTAGTTTTCGGAATCGCGGCATCGGCGAAGCTATGGGAGCAGAGAAAGAACTACATTAAGCTTTGGTACAGATCAAAGGACATGCGTGGTGTAGTGTGGCTGGACAACAAAGTGAGAACGGAGAAAAACGAGAGTCTCCTCCCTCCGGTGAGAATCTCCGGCGACACATCGAAATTCGCTTACAAGAACAAGCAAGGACACCGGTCAGCTATCAGAATCTCGCGAATCGTAACCGAGACGCTTCGTCTTGGAATGAAAGACGTGCGGTGGTTTGTAATGGGAGACGACGACACCGTTTTCGTGACGGATAATTTAGTTAGGGTTTTGAGAAAGTACGATCACAATCAATTTTATTACATCGGAAGTTTATCGGAGAGTCATTTGCAGAATATTTTCTTCTCGTACAATATGGCTTACGGTGGCGGTGGATTTGCGATAAGCTATCCTTTGGCGAAAGCGCTGAGCAAGATGCAAGATCGGTGCATTCAGAGGTATCCGGGATTGTACGGTTCCGATGATAGAATGCAAGCTTGTATGGCGGAACTCGGTGTTCCACTCACTAAAGAAACCGGGTTTCACCAGGTGAGTTTTTTTTCTTTTTCAACTCGGTCTTTTTTTAAATTATTTATTTTTTATATTTCAATTAGTTTGTATTTGTATTTGTTTGTTGTTGGTGTCATTTTCTTATATCATGAATCATGGTTGATTTATCACTGTGTGTTTATTGTGTGGCCCCGTTGATATTGGGTTTGTTCGGTGGGTGTGGAACTGCTTTCTGAATTGCTCTGTTTTTATCTGTTTTTTTAATGGTAATGATTCAAGTGAAGCTTTTTTTATGTTGGTGTTGAATTGGACTCAATAATGAGTGAATGAAAAGAGTAACTTTTGGTATCACCACAAGTTAGTTTTCATTTTAATTAACTTGTCGGTTTATTTTTGGTGTCGGTGGTGTTTTATTGGCACTGTGCATTAAATTGTAGTTCTTCTGTTATTGTGGTGGATTCGTGGAGGATTCAGCACTCTTGCATTAATTTCTTGACAATGGAATTTAATACTATCTCCTATGGCTTGTGGTAATTTTTTCAATCTGATCAGTCTAATGGGTGAATGTGTCAAATTATTAGATATAGAATGGAGTGAGAAATGGTGGTTTTACTTGCGACATTTGGGACCACTAGAGTGCAGGCATGAAAATTGAGGGACATAATAGGGTATGAAAAATTGAAGGGACTCAAAAATGAATTTGAAAATTATTACTAACAGCTTAATAATAACAAAAAAATTGTTTGGGTCATCTATTTTAGGAGGTTGTTGGTGTGGTGTCCAAAAGCTTGAGTTTATGCCGTTTTGGTGTTTAAAAATTGACTTTATGATTGCAAGAGTTCCATATGGATTTATTTGTAAGATTTTGACTCTAAACAATTTGGTAAGTATAATTGCCTGGTCCCAAAGATCAAAGTTGTTGAGGCGTTTTGTTTATACTTGATGTTGTTGAGTTAATTAAGCAAAGTCATAAGGGCTTTTACCTTTTCTCTGGATCTGGGTTACTATCTCTAAAGGAGATCTTTATGGTTTTTGTTAATGTGTCACCTAAGGACAAATATTTATGGTTTTTATTTTTATTTTTAAAAAGTTATTATTAGTAATTAGATTATTCCAATTACTTTAAAAAGGCAATGGCTTTTGTTTTAAATTTTTATAAATGTTTCCATTTTCTAAAAACATTTTTCACTTTTCATTTTGTAAAAACATACATTTTTTCCAAGTTTTTTTTAGTTTCTAAAAACATTTTCAACATTTCATTTTGAATTTTTTTTGTTGATTTTAAATTGCTAATAAAGAGATAAATAGGGATACACACGGGATGGACATAGTTAAGGGTGCGAGTCTAAAACTTTGGCTCGCTTCGAAAAAAATGACCGCGGGTTTGCAGACACTGCATCTTTAAAGTCTAAAAATTATGTTAATGTCCGTGTCCGCATAAGCTTACAAAAATACGGAGCAGGGCGGGACTGGCATATTAGAGTGTGTGGGCCTAAAACCTAGTTTGTCCCGCGAAAATGCATGGGCAAAACGGCCCGGCGGGTTTAGGGTTTAGGGTTTAGGGTTTAGGGTTGATCCCGTTTTGCCACCCTTGAAGATAAGAGATTCATGTACTTTGAACAAATGTAATTGTAGTACATAAAAAATGGAAGGCAAGCTAAGAAGAATGCTTGAGATTTTCATAGTTTTTTAAATGCTTGATCTGTTTTAAAACATATAAAAGAAATGGTGAAGGAAATACTGAATCTATATTCTCTTATATGTATTAGTTGAAATTAAAATGAAATCATGTGTAAAGTAAACGGGCCTAAATATTTTTACCATTCTCAAAACTATTATTGCATTTTGTTGAATAAAGCAGTGTTGCAATGCCCATGTAGATAAGAACTGCAAGACAGTCATGCATTCTATTATTGTTAACTTAGTTTCATATTGACTTCCCCTGATTTATTGGAACAGTATGATGTGTATGGGAACTTGCTCGGTCTTCTTGGATCTCATCCCGTGACTCCGTTAGTGTCACTGCACCACCTTGACGTGGTTGAACCAATCTTCCCGAATGTGACTCGTGTAGAAGCACTCCAGCGGTTAACAATACCAATGAAGCTTGACTCTGCAGGGCTTATGCAACAATCCATCTGCTACGACCCATCAAAGAGCTGGACTGTTTCTGTTTCATGGGGTTTTGCCGTTCAGATAATTCGCGGCGTTTTCTCACCCCGGGAGATGGAAATGCCTGCAAGAACATTCTTGAATTGGTACAAAAGAGCAGATTACACTGCATATGCATTCAACACGCGACCTGTTAGTCGTCATCCATGCCAGAAGCCTTTTGTATTTTACTTCTCAAAGGCAAACTACAATGATACAATGCAACAAACACTGACAGTATACGAAAAGCATCGAGTCCCTAACCCAGAATGTCGGTGGAAGATGGCCAACCCTTCTTCTATTGAGCGAGTAGAGGTACATAAGAAGCCAGATCCACAACTATGGGATAGGGTAAGTTAAATCGATTTTGATTGCTTTTAATTTCAAGTTTAAACTATGAAATTTTACCTGTCTGATGGAACTGTTAATATCATTAGATTGGAATTTGATGTGGGTTTGTTTTGGGATTTATATTTGTGCAGTCTCCAAGGAGAAACTGTTGCAGAGTTATGAAGTGGGAGAAGAAAGGAACCATGGTGATAGATGTGGGTGTGTGTAGGGAAAATGAGGTAAGTGAAGCATAGTTTTGGCATGTTATTGATAAATTAAGTATATTAGAGAGGTGGATTAGTCTTATGCATAATCTTCTGTTGGAGTTCCATACAAAAAAAATTATTTATTTATTTTTGTGGTTCAGTCCTACAAAGTGAAATTTTGTAATTCTTCCCTGCTGTTGGTTGAAAAGGGGAAAAGTTCTTGTACAAAGAAATTTGTAGTTTAAACAATTTAGATGTGGGACAATGGTAGGAGAAGATCTTTGTAATCATGATTATTAATATCATATTCATGTGCCAATGTGCTATTTTCACCTACTTTATATTTTCACATTCCTAGCAATTTGCTAATGGTTATAATTAGTAATTTGTTTTATCAACCACCACTTTCTAAGAAAGACTAAAAGTTAGTAGTGGTTTGGTAGCAAAACAACTATGCTGTGTGATTAAGTTATGGGCCTGTCTTTGCTAATCTCCTCATAAACTCACAAATGTTTGGATAAAATGACAAGATATCTGCCTACGAAAATTGAGATTTGCTAATTGAGCTAGACACATTTTATATAAAAAAAATTGGAAGTTTCATGCCTCCTCTAAAACAAAAAATATTATACATTACAACTTTTTGTCCAATAAACTATTGAAGTGAAATGAGCCTATTTACCACAGTGAAAAAGAAGATTTTAAAAATAGCTTACGAAAAATTGGTAGCGTAAGTAAAAAAGTTGATATGATTGTAAAAAATCGGTAGGCTACTTTAAATGTATGTATTTTTTACTAAATTTTATTAAAAAAAACGGTGGTGAAAAGTATACCCTTTTTTTTTTTAAATTATGGATTACTGATTTTTTTTTCAAAATGTTAAAATATCCGATAGTTTAATATCACCGGTTTTTTTATAAAAGTTCATGCATTTATCGGATATTTAACAGGACTATACAATATCTAGTAGTTTAAATTTTTACGGTTGGGATTTTGACGACAGTTTTGTATGACTGTGATTGTATTGACATTTGTGTGATCTATAATGAATTTAAATTATTGAAAGTTTAAAAATAATTCAAATGCATTGTGGAAGTTTCCGGAAGCGTTTCGTTGAAAATAACTTATTTGAGAAGCACTTTTGAGAATATGAAATTTGGAACTTTTGAAGAGGAAATCGATTTCCACAAAGTGGGTAATCAATTTCCACAAATGTTTTTTGTCTTTTCAATTTTTCTGAAAGTTGCGTTTTTAGTTCAGGAAATCAATTACTCTATTTTGGGAAATCGATTTCCAACGCGATATTTTGAGTTTGTGTTGTTTTCTTGAGTCTGGTTGGTTCCAAATTGTATTTTGTGGTATTCTATATAAACCCTCCTGTAATATTTGTTAGAAATTAATGCCATAATAACTTTTTCTCCTCAATTACTCTCTCTCTCTCTCTCTCTCTCTCTCTCTCTCTCTCTCATAATCTCCAAATTCTCTCTAACTTCATCTTCTTCAATTAACCATTTTTCACCATTAATTCACCAACTTATCTTGTGCATGTTCCAACATTTGACATCAAGAGTCCTGGTTCTGATCTATTAATCCGCTGCAAACATGACTATCGTTTCTAATGATCGAATCCCTACCAATCTTCCAACCCTTGACTCAAAAAACTATGATAAATGGTGCAAACAAATGAATGTTTTATTTGGATATCAAGACATTCTTGAAGTGGTTAATAATAATGTTACACCACTTGGGGCAGAAGCTACAACTGCTCAACAAGCCGCATTCAAGAAAGAGAAGAAGAAAGATTAAAAGACACTCTTCTTGATACATTCTTGCGTCGATAATGACAATTTTGAAAAGGTTGACGATTGCGAATCATCGAAGCAAGCGTGGGAGATATTGAAGAAAGCTTATGATGAGGCTGATAAAGCAAATGTTGTGAGGTTACAAACTCACAAGAGGCAGATCGAGTTGGTGCAAATGGAAGAGAAGGAGTCGACCAATGATTACATTACCCGTCTAACGCGTTTGGTGAACCAAATGAAATCTTGCGGTGAAACCGTGTTGGAGCAAAATGTTGTTGCAAAGATCTTACAGTCTTTAACGTTAAGATTCGACAATATTGTGGCTGCAATCGAAGAATCGAAGGACCTTCCTACATTGAGCAAGGAGGAGCTTCAAAGCTCACTAGAGGCTCATGAACAAAGAATGGATGAAAGAGGAAATGACATAGCCAAAAGGGAGATTGCATTGCAAGCACAATTCAATGAGAAGAGTAAGAGATCGAAAGGAAAATGGTCTTCAAAAGGGAAGACAAATTTCCAGAATTTTGGTGGAAAAGATTCACAAAGTTCAAAGGCTTCGATGGCACAAAGAGGTGAGAGCAGCTCTAAAGGTAGTGGTCAAAGCAATTACACCAAAAAGTTTGACAAGAGTGGTATGAAGTGTTACAATTGTCATAGGCTTGGTCATTTCACAAAGGAATATAATGCAAAATCGAGAGAAAATCAAAGTGATGAGGCTAAGGTTTCTCAACAAGAGGTGAATGATGATAACATACTTCTGGTTATGATCACAAAGGAGAATTATGGCAAGGAAAAACTGTTGGACAATAGTGTAATGATCGGCAAAAAAATAGAGTCGCCGTCATTAATTTTTATCCCGGGGAAGTAAATATAATGAATAACCCTAATTTGATCAGAGATTCTAAGTTATTGACTCACTTTAGATGAAGGAAAGGTGTTAGGAACCCCTCATCTACCTTGTTCACAAGGATACTAGGGTTTAGGTTTACGGTTTAGGAATAGGATTTTAATTTTAATTAGGGAAACTCGCCACGATTTTGAGTTGTATGCCTACGTATCCTCTTATGAGGAATCATAATCCAATTTGTAGTTCGTAGTTGTTTGGTTAGTTTTTTTATGGATTATAGAAATATCTCGAATTCTCCTTAAACCAAGTCTGGGTGTCTGAATGGCGGAATTTATAGAGGAAATTTGCAGTCGATAAAAGAAATTTCCATAATCCTTTGTTGAAAATAAATATGTTTGAATTATGTTAGTAAAAAAATGTTAGTATTTGATTGGTTAGATAATTTCGAGTATATTATGCAATATGAGAAAAATAAATTTTAATGCATGAGAAAAATGTTTAATGCAATTAAAGAATATTTAAAAATAGATTTTAAATTAATAAATAACTATTTTATAATTCACTAAAAATATGTTAAATATTTTCAATATTAATTCAATATTATTTGTTAAAAATTTATAAAAATGCAAAAATATAATTTAATGCAAAAGTTACAAAATGTGATATATGATAATTAAATAAAAAATAGAAAAATAAATAAATTATAAGAATTAAATAAATTATGGAAAATTAATTAATTAAGACTATGGGAGTGTAAAACCTAAATCTGGGGCGTATTTAGCAATTGGGCCTGGCCCAAAGTTTGAACCAGGAGAGGTCCATTTAGATCCCGTGTATGCGAGCGTGTGGATTTACGAAGCAGTTACGATATTGTGATCGTTTGATTAAGATCGGAGAGTGGCGAGTGTGAGGGTGCATGGGAGAGGTGCATGGGATCACGTGGCCAGATGTTGGCCATGTGTCCCTGATGGAGATCACACGCTGAGGGAGCATATAAGTGTTTTCTCACGTTTCCTTCGTCATTTTTCATTCTTTCTCTCTTCCTTCCCTTTGTTCTTATTTCTCTCCTTCGCTTCGCAGAGCAATACTAACAACACCCTCAAACCCTAAATGAAAAATCATGACGGCGACGAACCCTCCACCCTAAAACCCAAACAAAAATCAAACAAATCGTTAAAGCTAAGTGCAATCGGTATACCTCTTTCATGGTAAATTTCCGTGTTCTTGTAATTTTAGGTCCATATACTTTTTCTGATCTCTTCTCTCCTTTCTATTGCGTGTACGATCGAAGATGACGATGGTGATGATGGTGGACGTGCGACAGCGACGGATGCGCGGGTCAATAGATCTAGGGTTTCATAGTAGAAACTCATATCTCAGATGAAGATCGCCTTGATCGAAGATTTGGATTCGTGGAATTTCTCTATCTACTCCCTCTTCTCATTCTTTCTTCCCATTCTTCATGTCTCACTATACAAATCTTAGAGAGAGAAGCTTTGGCTTCTCTAGGATTTCCTCACCAGAAATCATCACCACCACCCTAAGCCTCCCTGAACCACCGTACATTTCCTAGTTTCCGATTGACATTTAACTGGAAAACTCAAACCTTGAACCACTTTCACCCAGATCCCATGAACCCTATGAATCCAAACCCTAACCCTAGGATTCTTACATGAACCCTAGCAATCTTCAACCCAAAAACGTTTATCCAGATGAATCCTAACCCTAGACACCAATAACCCTAACCCTAATTTATGAACCCTAACCCTACATTATGAACCCTAACCCTAAAGACTTTCCAGAAACCAAAATCAACAAAATTAGTGGTAATTAACGAAATCTAAGGGCTCGGTTTACCCCACTTGCAGTATTTCTTTGTGCTTTCTCCTTGATCATGGCTCATAATCCCTCCCCCTCTCTGATTTTAGGTATCGACTGATGGCGATAACGATGAAAGAGTAGCGACGGTGTAGCAACAGATCTAGGGTTTTAGAGTAGAAACTCAAATCTCAAATTAAAAGCGTGAATGATGGGCGTAAGCTTGCAGCTTCTACTTCTTCTCCTTCTTTCCTTTCTCCGTTACAATTTTCTTCTCCTCCCTCTTTTTCTATAGAGATTCTGGGCTATTTATAGCTGTAGGAATTAGATGAATTTAGGAAATATTTCTTCTACTTATCGTTACAGAAATTTTGATTAGGGTTAATTTGTTTTGATTGATGATTTTTAGGAGATTTCAGATTTGTTGTAAATTACTGAGATTTGATTAGATCTGATTTTATATAGTTGTTTTAGAATTTGTAGATTTGAATGTATATGGTTATCTTTGTATTTGAGAATTCAATTAAGCCTTTGCACAATATTTGATTTGATTATGTTTTTAGAAAGATTTGATTTTAATT